GTAAACTGGGACCGATTTATTTGTGCACAATGCTGCATGGTTATAAAAAAAGCTGATTCGAGAAATTTAGTTATCAAATGTGAATGCGGAAATGATGTAGCTGCCAACTGCCAACTGCCAACAATTCCACTACTGGACTGTTCTGAGGTTCATTTAAATTTGGGTAAATTTCGCCAACTTTTTTTATACCTTGGCAGCATTGTGCACACAGCAAATAAAATTAAGTAATTAACACATCGGTTCCAGTTCACGTGAATTCGTATTCTGCCAACGCGGCGGCAAATGTGTTGGTACGTTTTTTCTCTTCTCGCTGACCGTTGGTTTTCACAATTCAAATGCTTGCAACGGACAATATTTTGCCTTCAAATTTTGATCGTTTTTTAATAACAAAATCTCCCGCTTTCAGTAAAAATGTGGAACCTGCCTATTGTACTGCCTGTGAATAGAATGTATGAAATTGCATTCCTTCAAGGACAAGGACTGCAAGCTTCGTTCGTCTAAATGTATTATTATTTACATTACAAATTTACGCAATGCTTCTTAAGGGATCTATTTTTAGAACATTCCAATCCTATTTATAAAACCATTCCAATGATAACACAAAAAAACATCCCGAGTTCCTGACATCTAACGATTAAAAAGGAAAATATTCGAATGGTCAAAATAAATGGTTTGTAATGCTGCCATCTAATGTCAATGTAACGCTCCACTTTCGATCGCCCACGGACTTTCAAACGATCGAACTGCCCCTAGCGGCGGCCAGTTGGCACATGGTCACAAACTGTTATATGGGATCGCCGCTTCTGATAGTTATAAATTCAATGGTACTATATCTTGTCATAGAGTAGTATTTTAAAAGTTGTGCTGCGTAAAGCGGACGTGAGATTACAAATTGTGCTGCGTAAAACTGGCTACGTAAATACTGGTACACGTGCTGCCATCCAGTGATGTATAACTTCATTTATTGGGTAACTAAACAACCTTGTCTTCATACCTCGCTATGTTACAAGTTATTCAAAGGGTGAGAACGATTAACGAATCAGAGTGGATATGTTACCATAAATAAAACAAGTTGTAAATCAGCATATGCATGATTAAAGCGCATTTTTGGTAATGCAGGTCAGTATTTTATTAGCGAAGTTTAAAATTATCGATCTCACGAGTAATTTTGGCTGCGTTAAATAATTAATTTTATTTAATTTCAATTGAGGGTACGTCTTCATTTTGTAAAACAAATCACAAAGTAAATAATAAGTTTTTATACTGGTAGCGCTATCTAACGGTAAAATTATAGCACCTCCGAAACCATATCGAAATTATTTTCTTCAATTATCGATCTCACAAGTAATCTAACTCAAAATAGACTAGTGCCTGCACATCTACACTATAGCAGAAAGCTTTTAGTGAAAATTTGAATTCTCTAGCTATTGTAGTTGTGGAGATCTCACGCGGACAGCCGGCCTGCCAGCAATAACGAATATAATAGCGTATTTTTTTCAAAAATGCGCTAAAAATGTATGTCACGGAGATTTCAGCGGTGTACCTAGGCCCTCTTATACCGGGTGGTGCCTAGAGCGACGCAGCATAGGGATTTCAATGGTAATTTCTTTATAGTCAATTACTAGCTCCCCTAATTATTTTAGAGCAAAAGTCTAAATGTGTGTTTTTTAGGGAAAAAAATACTGCATCTGTTCATACTATTACTTATAATTTTCCGTTTTTTAAAACTATATAACTTTAAGAACAATTCTTCCTCAAGTCAAATTCTTTTTTTTTCAATTAGGTATGCAGGTACTCTGGTTCCGGAAAATGATAAACAAATAGTAGCCAATGCGATGTGCTTGTAGTTTGTTATAAAGATTCCAAAGCATCACTGATTTATAAAAATGTAATTTTTTATTTTTCCGATTTGTACGGTTTTGAAAAAGGAAAAATTATAACTAATGGTATGAGCAGATGCAGTATTTTTTTCTCTAAAAAAAACACATTTAGATTTTTGCTCTAAAATAATTAGGGGAACTAGTAATTGACTATAAAGAAATTACCATTGAAATCCCTATGCTGCGTCGCGCAAGGCACCGCCCTGTATACTGGATTCATTATAAGAAGGTAGTAGATGGCGCTGTGTTTGAAGATAAGCACCAAGCATCACAACTATGGAATGTTCCACTTTAACAAGGTATCTGCGTATCAAAAACATACCCTAACTTGTATCAAATACTATACACGGTGTCCATTTATCAAGTGCCACTATGGGGATCTCACTTATCTTAAGAGAGAGAAAGTTGGTTAAATTGGGGCAAAGTTGCAAATTTCCGTGCTGAATAAAAATCTGAAACGAAATTTGAAATATCTTCAATAGTTTAAAAGATAACGCAAAAAACGAAAATTTCTAATTTTCGTTTTTAATTTTTTTGGATAAGCTAATCGTAGTAGACATTTCTAATTGACACATTATTCGGACACTTTTTAATGGAGATTTCAAATATGGCATCTTATTTTTAATTACTTTCAAGATGACGGAGAAACACGTGGCAACTTTAGTTTTTCTTATGGGCGCCATATTGAATTTTGACATTTTGGGTCTTTTTTTCTCTTTACAACGATACCTATATCACACATGGTGGTTCAGTATCACATTTTTTCTAAAAATACAATTTTTAATTTTTTGAGATGAGTGCTTTGGAAAAACAAAACGTTCTTTTGTTGTAAACAAAAGTTTGATAGTTTGATCCATCTGTCTGGTTGCAGCATTGTCAGAGAAGCACTCTTCTCAAAAAATATATCGTTGTAAAGAGAAAGAAAGACGTAATCTCAAAGTATGAAAATTCAAAATGGCGCCCATAAGAAAAACTAACGTTGCTACGTGTTTCTCCCTTATATATTGAAAGTTATTAAAAACAGGATGCCATATTTGAAATGTCTATTAAAAAGGGTCCGTCTAATGTGTTAATTAGAAATTTCTACGACGATTAGTTTATGTATCATAAAAAAATTAAAAACAAAAATCAGAAATTGTGGTTTTTTGCGATATGTTCAAAACTATTGAAGATCTTTTCAGATTCTTATTCAGCACGAAAATTGACAACTTTGCCCCCAACCAACTTTCTATCTCTTAAGATAAGTGAGATCCCCAAAGTGCCACTCGAAAAATGGACACCGTGTATATCTTTGCTCGTAGTAACACCCTGCACATTAATCCCAAATTTCCCCCTATTAAATAATAAAACCAACCTTGACGCTCGGTATTGGTATGCGAAAAATTCCAGCTATTTTCGTTGTCAGTCAAGCAGACGAGCAGTCGAAATTCGAATATTGCTATAGACAGACTCATATATTGTAACGGGAACCGTATACTGGGCCCGAACTCCGGGAGAGCGATCACTGATTTATGTCGACGATTTATGCTGCACTCACAATCGGATCGCTCGGAATTGTTATAAAATCGGTATTTCGTGACCGAGACCGTGTATCTGCCTAAATTTCGGACGAGCAGTTAATTTTATGCTGATCTCGCCTTCGGCTCACTATATGAATATGATATTTACTCGGCATTTCGTGACCGGAATCGTATTCTTGCCTCAAATTCGTGGCGAGCGGTTGATTTACGCCGATTTCGCCTTCGGCTCGCTCGGCATCGGTATGAACTTGGTATTTTGAAACTGAAACTGTATAACGACCTATAATTTCGTGTGAATGGCTGATTTATGCCGATCTCGCCTTCGGCTCGCTTGGCATTGGTATGAAGATGAACTCCGCAATTCGTGACCAGAACCGCATTTCTGCCTAACATTCCGAGCGAGCGATTGATTTATGCCGATTTCACCTTCGGCTGGCTCGGCAGTGGTGTGTATCCAGCATTTCGTTACCGGAATCATATTCTTGCCTCAAATTCCAGGCGGAGCGGTTGGTTAACGCATTGAATAAAAAATTAAGTCATAACCCAGTAGGCAGTAAGTTAAGACTGCTTTAAATTTTCAAAATGTATAAAATCACGGGAACAGAATATGAGTTCCAGAGGCGCCTTGGCTAATTTTTAGAATTCGGCAAAAAACACCCTGTATATTAATTGATTTGCTTACGTTAATAGATAATAATAATAAATAATAAAAAGAAAATTTCGGTAACTATTCGCGTTAGATTCTTCATATTTGCACTAATTTCTGCAAAAAATAAAATGGTGATCTAGGAGCTTTACATGAAATTGACGTTTGCTTTTTAAAGATGACGGAAAATCCCAATTTTAAAAAACATACCTACGCTTTTTCGCAGCGAGAAAAGACGTCTAATATGTGCGGACGGAAATTTTATGAAGTTTAGGATGCCTCCTGAGTATTTCTGCGCCCTATATGGCTGAAATCGCCAAAAAAAGCTCTTCGCCAAAATATGAAAATAAACTCATGCAGATTTTAGACAACATGCTTTAAAAAAAATTATCGGTAATTTTGATGCACTTGTGCAATTACCTACGATAACGAAATTAAACTGTTTTCCTATATTGACTTGATTGTTGAATGTGTATTTAGTTGAGGTATAGATACATTGATCGTATAATCATAGACTAAAAAAAGTGTAATTATATAGTTATTAGTCTATAGTATAATATAGAAAACCTGAAGAAGCACACTTGAGTTCATATTTCTATTTAGGTAAGCTATAAGTCTATAACCCTAATACCTATAAGTGTATAAGTATATCTCAAGGACGTTAAAAAAACGTCCTTGGTATATCTACTCCAGTAAGTATTCTATACTTACCATTAGATACAGGTGATTAACCATAGTTAAAATTTCACATCTGCCTGGAAGAAGAGAAAAGTGGGAGTTACAAGAACGCATATTGGGATTTTGGAGTATGAATGGGTCGTTGATGGTCTCTGTATGGGTTATAACTTTGTTTGAGCAAAGAGCTTTGGGTGAAGGCCATATCTATAGATGATAGGAAATAAGTAGGTATTACATTTTCAGTTATTGTTATTGATTTAATTCTCTTAGCTTCTAAAATTGAAAACACCATCATACAGCGTTTCTGCGGTGTTGAGATTTAATTTTATTACAATATATTAGGTATTACAAGTGAACTATGGTAAGTACCAAGGTAGGTAAATACGTAAAAAATTGAATGTGTTTTAATTTCTATTTACTATTGTATCACGTATTTGTTGAGTTAACCACTCAACACCTTCGTTAAGACCATCGCCCGTTAAAGCATTACTTGCCGATATATTCCAAGGTTTATCCATTATCTTATCTAGTCCTAGACCTGCCGCAATTTTAACACTACTTAAAGATTCTTTGCAATCCATTTTGTTTGCAAAAAATAATATTGGTATTTTACGATTACAAATGTCAGGGTGTTGAAGCAACAGATCCAATTCGTCCTTTACTACGACCAAACGAAGTTTGTCACTGCTGTCGATCACAAACACTATACCATGGCAATCTTTATAGTAATGTTCCCATAAATCGCGATATCTGCCATGCCCTGACATGTCAAACGCGGTAAATGATAAACTTTGGTCTAGAATATGGGATTAGGTAAATGATAGTTAGGTACATTAGAGAATATACTCACTTTGAAATTTTTCTACATTAAATCCTACAGTGGGGACTATCTCAGACTGTTTATCCTCTTCATCTTTAAAATGATTAATTATCGTCGATTTTCCGCTATTATTTAAACCTATAACGAGCACATTTACTTCCTTTTTTTTGATGCGTAAGAAAACGGCAAGTGTTTTAAATAAGCCCATCGTGCATGTTTGTATTGTTTATTCTCGAAATAATCAATACGGAAAGGTTCAGGTCTTTGATTATAGTCGGTAGTACATAATAGCTTTGAATATAATCTACGATAGCAGTACCTACCGTTTCTATGGATCACGATACGAGTGTTTGGTGTGTTGCCTATATATTAATTTTCATAAACCAACATTTTAATTTTATTCCCGAAAAGTATGATAAGCGGAAGTAAAAATTAATCTTTTTCTTCAAATAGTATTCGAATGAAACGCCTGACCGGGGGTGATCTTTTAACAAGTCCTGTTCCATCCCCCGATCCCATCCCAATCAAGATACTTTGCAGCCGTGCATATTATGCCGTTAGGTACCACCGTAACAATTATGTCCATATCATCAGTGCGAGTGTAAAAACTGAAACTATCACAATAAATCTTTTTGAAAAAAATCCTCGAATACGTCAATTTTTATTTTAGGTGAGACATATTTCATTGTAACTGTTACTGACTGAGAGATCGTCTTTTGTTTTTGAGATATGACGTAATCGATCATTATTTTAAATGCAAACCCTATTTTTTATACTGAAGGAAAGAGAATGAAATTATTAGGCCAAGTAAGGTAAAAAAGTATGATACTTATTTTGAAATATTCGAGATAATTGCTTCTAACTTTAGAAACAAAAACCTATAGGAAATAACAATAAAAATCAACAGTTCCAAGTTGTAGGTACCTAAATCAGCATATGGATGATTAAAGCGCATTTTATTTTTTTATTTTATTGACAAAGTTTAAAATTATCGGTCTCACGAGTAATCTAACTCAAAATAGAGTAGAATCGGCACATCTATACAATAGCAGAAAGCTTTTAGTGAAAATGTGAAGTCTCTAGCTATTGTAATTGCTGAAATCTCAGATTGACAGCCAGCCAGCCAGCCATAACGAATATAATAGCGTATTTTTTCAAAAATGCGCTAAAAAGTACGTCATGTCGCAAAAACAAAAGTGACAATTACAGTAAAATGATAAACATTGATTCGACGATTTTGTTTCAAAAACGTTTACGAAAAGATTTATTGTGATAGTTCCCGACTTTACACTCGCAGTGTATAAATTTTATACACTGTGACCCGGATTGCCTGCATCTAATTTCGCATGTAGTTAATTGAAAATGTCGCAAATAGCAATAAACATCGATTTAAGTCGATATTAATATGATTAAATGATCACAAAAATTTGATATGTCGATCACGGTATTCAAGTGGTGCGAAAATGCTTTTTGAGTTCCATTACAATTAATAAGCATTATTGTAAGTATCGTAATATCGACTTAAATCGTTTTTTTGATATTTGCGACATTTTCAAATCCCAATCTTTAAATAAGTATAACTTTTGTTTGAAAAGTTATTTTAAAAAACTCTTCGACAATTGTGTTCCTTAACTCATCAAGTATGTACACAACAAATTTCGTGGAATTCTCTCCATTTTCGTTGTCCGGCTAAGAATTGCAGTGGAACTTTTTTTTTCGAATTTTCAAAAACTAATTCCAGATTCGTCATTTTGATGTTCAAAAACCCCCAGATACCAAACTTCGACGAAATCACAATTTTTTTTCGCACCCCCAAATGAGGGTGCGCCCTTTCGTGGTAAGAATTTTGGAAATTTTGTTTCAAAATCGCATAGGGCATACCAGAAAACCTATTCAAAGACGTGTCACCCATCCAATCTTTGTAACTCTTATGGTTGCTGAAAAAAAATTAAAGAAGAAATCCAAATTTCACCACTTCTTTGGGGGTGGCTCCCAAACGAAACATGTTGGACCCTCGGTTTATTTGGAAAAGTGCTTGTCTTAATCCCCTCTATCACCCAATTTTTTTTTACATGTACCACCCTGTATATATAGTATATGTATAGGTATAATGTACGTACCTACATAGTTTTTGTAGATATAGTAGTGTTTGTGTTGTTCATTGGGTAAAAATACTATTTTTATTCAATGGTAGTGCGAGCTACTTTATCAATAACTTCAAAAAGTCTGACCGTCCGTCCGTCAGTTCCGCCGTTCGCACGATAACTTTGATGTGTAAAGCTCAAATTTGATACACAGATAGACCATGCCTTAGAGAAGAAGTGATTACATTTTGGGCTTCGTAGATTAACTCCCTGAGTCAGAGTAGCGCATAAGGCATGCGTGGGATAATCCCGCCAGATAATTACTTACTGTTGTTTTCCTGTTCAAGTAATGAGATATCACCTTAGCAGTTTTATTTCAGTTGCCTATGTTTACGTTAGCGTTTCGATTAATGGGGTTACTTTTTCTGTCCGTCTGTCCGATGCCTTAACTATTACAGTTTTCAAGATATTTAGTTCGTTCTTACTACATTCGGTAGCTTATAGGTCTAGCACCTCAACCTAGAAAAATCTTGACGATTGATGTGCGCATGCGAAGACAGCACAACGTCAACTTTCTTATTTATAGAGATATCTTTTTGAAATTTTAATCATCGATGGTTCTAGCAAAGACAAGCATATCGAATATGGAAAAATCAGATATGGGCACGCGCAATGTCAACGTCTTATTTATAGAGGTATTTTTTTTTTAAATTTTAACCAAGATTCTTCTAGAAAAGGCAAACATATCGCATATTTTACACATCAGGCAGGTGTGAAAATGCTCTAAAGCTATTCACCTTAAAACGAAAATTTTTTTGACTTTTTAAATATATGTGTTCGGCTTTGTATCGAGTGGTCAGAAATGATGTAGTTTTTGGGAGTGTCGAGTAGCACCTATAGCTGTACCCATGGTCTAATATATACTTATTAGGCCATGGCTGTACCTACGCCTACCTTACGTCTATAACATGGGTGGACTTCTTTTTGCACCACTACTTTATTTATGAACCTTTTTTAACGAACTTTGTTTGAAAATTACCATTATTGAGCGGCAGAGCAAAGCTTTATAGGGGAGTCGATAGTGTCCGTCTGTCTGTGAACACGATAACTGTCAAACGCGTGGACCGATTTGGTTCAAACTTTGCACAGTTGACCAGTGGCGTAACTTCATTTTAAGGGCCCGTCCTCAAAAATATTTGGGGGCCCCTTTCCCTTACGCTTAATATAACCGCTTGGATTTCTAATGACACCCATGTTAAAAATATATAAATGAAAGTTCACTAGAAATACAACCCAGAAGATTCGGATTCTTTAATAAAGATAGCTTCAGGAATTAATCAATTTTAGCCAATTTATTTCTTCGCTTTTCAACGGTTGTGTTTTGTTTTGCTCTTCTAGGTTCCACTATAGTATTTTCGTCCATTCTGAGCTGTCTGATTTCGCCGCTGGAGATACATTTAAACATTTCTATTCTTTGTGTATGAATCGGCCTTTTTTGAATGAAGGTAACTGTTTCGTCAGTGCATTCATCTCGAAAGACAAGTTCAGTTTAAGGTTACCGTATCCAGAACCTTCAGATCTCTTCTGGACTGCAGAAGGTCTCGCTAATTAACAAAGTGTTTCATTTAGGTACTTTATGTAAGAGACTTCGGAATGTTATTTTTCACAAATGGGAAACGAATGGAGTTACTTTTAAACCTCTTTGAGCTGGCTACTTTTGAGCATATCAAATTTCGTATTAAATTAAGGTCAGATTTAAATAATATGATATGATGATTTAAATTCAATAGTTACTTCCTCGGATTGTTAATTTTTGTATATTGTAGCATAGTGTAAGAATTCTTTACACTAAGATTGTAGTAATTGGTCCGGATTTTTCACCTCCTGTGAACAATTTTATCTCTTCCTTTCGTAACGCAAAATATGTAAATATTAACACAAGCGTAACATTGAATGAGTTCGGGAAATTTTCAATTTTTTTCAGTATTTTTTATATAAGAATTACATTTTTTGTACATTTTTGCCGGGGCCCCTTTTAAGTCGGGGCCCGTCCTCATTACGTACCTTTGAGACATTGTAGTTACGCCACTGCAGTTGACCTATATCCGACAAGTAATAAGCCAATTGAAAATGGGTCAAATCCAATGATTCCGTGGGGTCACACCGAGGTGCTCTGCCGCTTTTTTTAAACGCTCTTTATATGGGTTTAGTAATATGTGGTAATAATAGGAAGTTTAGAATCCAATACCTTCAGTGATAACGATTTTATAATTTTTGGTTTTTCGAAAATAATTATTTAAAATCTATCGCAATGGTTAGCTATAATACAAAACAGTGTGTCCGTTTTAAAATGACCTTCAATTAAACACGTAGTGTGGAGAATAATACCATTCACAAGCATTTTTCATACAACCAAATTTCCGAGTGGGTACGTGCTGTATTAATTTATAAAAATTAATTGAGCAAGGAATAAAGCAGATAAAATAAACACTTAGAGAGGTGTTATTTTTAGAATTAGCTTATATGTTCGTACTAACCTACTAACTACTACTTATCAATTAAAGAATTAAACGAACAGCGAACAGTTCGACTATTCCGAGGAAATCACTATATATGCTATAAGTACGCTTAATTATTGTAATGAAATTGTTTCGTATTTATAATTACCAATGGGATAATTGCTTGACAGTCGGCCAACCGTGGCGTTTAAATTGCAACGTTTACGTCGTCTTTCCTAATATTGTGTAATAATGGGCAATCTAGAATCACTCAATATCTCTATCCTTTTTTAGAATAATCTAAGTGAATAAATAGACAAATATTTGTATTCTTTTATCAATTGACTTGTAATCAACCAGTTCACACGCATCGAAAAGTACAGGTTGCGGGTACCTGGTACCTACCTATAAATTAAAATAATGTTAGTGGATCCCGGTTGCCTGCCATAATTTCGCACACCTTACCAAAGTATGCTGAGAGCCAAGATACCAAAGTGCCCGTGATATTGAGAGCAACGATGGAAAGTACAGTTCAAAGCATAAAAAAGAAAAATCCCAGGGAGGAAGCTAATTGTATATCGGCCTTATTTTTCTTGTAAGTAATCTGTCTTATCTAATTAGAACTAGGCATAAAACGTCCATCGAATACAGGTATTCCGTATTTGCACATTCAATGTAAGTCATAGAGGTTTGGTTACAATTCAGTTCACCAGTTTTTGCCTGTTGTTTTTGCAGAAGTTGTTGATGGAATGTATTTACATTTCTTAAAACAGGTAGTATCTCATTTGAATTTGCACCTACGTTATGATGCATTCTACAAAGAAAAGTCACACTGTAACATTTCGTTTTTGTAAAGGGGAATAAGAATAACCGAATAAAGTAAACGCGACTAATCGTTACTTCTTAATCAATATGAGTATATTTATATCTGTGTATAGCTATATCACTGCAGATTGCAATGTGTTGGCATTGGCACAGATACACGTTTACGCATATCTGTGGTGTTGGTGTTGATTAAATTTCTATAGGTATCTAACTGTATATTTCGCTAATTCCTACTCTTACACTGAACCAGAGTAGGTACCTGTATTCTTTGACTGAATCGCCGTGTAAATATTATAAAATTCTGTTTTCATTCTAGATCTGCTTTCAAAAACATTACTGAGAAAAATCTGTTGTACCTACACTTTTACAGTATTCTCCAAATAGGTAGTTTAGTAGGTATGTCTGTCATCTTTGAACAGAGTTATCAAAGGTACCTATTTATCATACCATACCTCTGAAAATATTGATGTTAGCAAAGATAATAGCATTATGATAATAGCATTGAATTTATATTATAAATTCAATGATAATAGGTTTATAAATACAATGATAATAGTATTATTTTAGAACAAAATTATCTTTTATTGACACTTTTGTTGTAATTTGTTCGCGAGACTGCCTGGATGTATGTCCATTGTTCAGCAGCAGCACTCCCATTTCTGTTCAAACATCACTCCACACTTTTCTCGTAGTTTTTAACTCTGTACGTATAATGGTTTCGTATTTAGAGTAAGTTTCATAGAACAGACTATCAGCGTCTACACTTATAATTGAGTGTTCGCTTTTTGAAATCCCAGTTCCATTTCACAACAAGGAGTGGGCGTTGCTAAACGCGGAAAGCTGACGTCAGGTAACGTTTTGTGTGGCACTTCGAATATTTAAACTAATGACTATTTTGAAGTCAACTAACATTATTTTTCACATATTCTTAAACTGACTTGTTTTGAACACGTATTTTTACGATTCTGAAGCGTAAAATAATATCTGGGAGGAGAGATCTCCCTTTTCTGTTACTTTTTGGTAACAATCACGATACGTGTAAATGTATCGTGGTAACAATGCTCAGTGGTAGAGCGTTGGGCTACATAGCCGGAGGTCGGGTGTTCGAATTTGGGCTGAGGTAAGAATTTTTCATCTGTGACAGAAATGGGAGTTTCCTAAAGGGCCCCATACACGGAACGATTCGTCGTCACGATCGATCTGAAGCGATATTGTGACAATAGATCGCCCAAAGCTTACCACTCACACACGAAACGATTGGTTGTTACGATCGATCGCTTACAACCGAACCATCGTGATTAAATAATTTAAGAAGTCATACGTGCCCTGTCGAATCGTTGATCGCAATGAGCCATACACTGTCGATCATCGTTACGATATTCACGATTGCATGCGTTTTTGTTGCAATGTCCGATATCCAATTCGATGAAGTAAATCGTTAACGATCTTGGCATACACTATCGAGTCGTCGTTTCGATCGGTCTGAAACGACGGATCGGACAGATCGATCGTACCGTGTATGGGGCCTTTTAAAGTATCAATTCTTATGGGGGAGATGTGGATATGTTACGTAAGTCACATCCTTTCGTTTTTTTGGTTTTCTCTGTACCTATACCTACTCTAAATTGATGATACTGGTCCGTCAAAATGAAAGCCTGTTGTTTGGTGGTCTGTGCCTATATCCTGCTCGTTCTAGGCAACAGGTATACATTAACCAAAAAAATGCTCGAGTACATCAAATATCACCTTAGATGCGGTGGTCACTTCTTTAAAAAAATTAATTGACATATGAGGTTGTATGGTATGTCATTTGGAAGGTTATTCCATTCTCTCACCAGATCTAACGTTTCTGCACATCAGAAGTGAGCTCCGTCCACCTGGTAAAGTATTTGATAAATCTTATCAGTTTTCAAAAAAATGGGGAGGGGTGAGGAGAGGGGGGCAACTTCACACAGCTCTCCATTGCGTCAAAAGTGCACTTTGTTTAGGGTTCTGGAAAGATCATCATTAGTTCGAAGGTTCCTGATAAGCTAGTAAAATATTTCTTTGTTCAGTATATATAGGGTCGCAATTTGAAAACTTACCACCTCCCCATGTCTTAGTAAATAAACGAGATATTTAAAAAAATGAAAATCCGTTTCGGTAATTCGGAGGGGGAATCACAATCACATAGTTGGCGACGCACCCCCTCCAACCCCCAGCGCCCCAGCGACCCCAACTTTTAAATCTTAAATAGTGACCCCCCATGTGTGATACGTCGCTGGAAAGCTCTGAAAAAATGCTTTCCAACCATACCAAATAGCATTACATTTAGGTTAGTAATTATCGTGCAAATCAAAAAATAAACTAATATGATACATTTGAAATCTGTCGTATTTAAAACGCAACCGGCGAACTAAGTGTGCGTTTACAATGAACGTATACGTAAATATTTCATAAGCCGTAACTCGTACATATTCGTATCGTTTCCGTAAATTTACTTCGCTGTTTACAATAAACCAAAGATCATACTACTTGACCGTACGTACTTTGAAACATTTTCAACCTTTGCGACTATGCGCAAGACTTACATATCGCTTACATATACGTACGTAAAAATTACGTTCATATTGTAAACACCTTCGTAAATTTCTATACAGTTCACCTTTGCGAATTTTTTACGTTTTATGTATTTCTTACGTATACGTTCATTGTAAACGCACACATAGACAGAAAATAATTCAAGAATGTCGAAATATTGCAAAACCAACACTTGAAAAGGTTCGACAAGAGTTTGAGAATAGATTATACTATGTACTGTCTTACCAATAACGGAAACTATTTTGAACATTATTAGTTTATTTTTTGATTTGCACGATAATTACTAACCTAAATGTAATGCTATTTGGTATGGTGGAAAGCATTTTTTAGCTTTCCAACGACGTATCACACATGGGGGGGGGGGGCCACTATATAAGATTTAAAAGTTGGAATGGCTGGAGCGCAGGGGGTTGGAGGGTGTCGCCAACTATGTCATTGTGATTCTCCCTCCGAATTACCGAAACGGATTTTGATTTTTTAAAATATCTCGTTTATTTACTAAAACATGGGGGTGGTAAGTTTTCAACTTGCCACCCTGTATGTATGGTAAGTACTCGTATTTTTTTGATTCGATTTTTTACCTATTTTTAGTGAATTTTTTCAAGGATGATAAAAAATGTGCCGTTGTTTGCGTTTTGTCCGTCCGTCTGTTCCTCCGTCCGTTCATCCGTTCGGACGCAAAATTTTTGTGTTGGGGTGGGGGTGGGGGCATGAATTATTTCCTGAGATGCTGGTTTTGGAAAAAAGTGCATAACTTAAATGAAGGGGGGGGGGGGGCAAACATACGTTCTACCGTCTTCTAAACGACCCTTTCTCTCTTCTAACTTTGATTAACATTCTTGCAAATGTGGCACTATATTCATATAAGAATTAAGACCTCAACCTTTGAATATAATATATTCAAAGCCTCAACAGAGAAGTTTAACACCCTTATTTATTTGTGAATGGTAATTTAATACCTATGCAGAAATTCCTTCTCGATAACAGGCGCGCGAATTGATGAATATTACGCTAATTTTGTGCTTCTAGGCTACGTAGTTATTGCTTTGGCTATCAGACGGTCACTGCCCCTACTATGATTCTAATGACTTAAACCCCAAAAACGAAATTGGCGAATTAATTTAAAATGACGATATCTTCATCTAGCTCTTAAAAAAGGCCGAACTTGAGATACGAGGACAAAAGCAGACATTCAAACGTGCAAAAGACGGACTTCATTTCCAACACGGTTATTAAAATTGTATTAATTTTCCACCGCCACGCCGACGACTTTTTTCGACACCCTGTACTTAATAGTGTAATCTCCAATAATATTCAAAAACCAAAACGGATCTACCCTTAAACTCAAAATCTAACACATTTGCAACGAAATTTCGAGAAAAAATTACACAATTTTAAATCCAAACTGGCTCCTACCGTTACATTATGTGTATGAGATCACTTTTTAATGTCACTATTTTTTTCAGTTACATGATCCCTACCTTCATACAAAATTACAGAAAAGGCGTAAATCGAGATGATGTATACGAACCACTGAAAGCGCATGCATCGGCGACTTTGGGCGATAAATTAGAAGCACTATGGAATGATGCCACACGTAAATATGAAAAGTTTGGTTTGCATGTGGCTCTCTTCAAATTATTTGGATTCGAGTTAATCTTAATTGCTGTTGTGAAGTTGATATCGGAAGTCATTACATTGTAAGTTGTTTGCCCCACAGCAAGTTTTTTTTTACTAATCACGTTTAAGGATTGTTATGCCAATGTGCGTGGATAACTTGGTATCTTACTATGAACACCGATCTGAAGCTAATGTGGAAGATACTTACATTTACGGCTCTGTACTAATAGGTATCCTCTTCCTAGACGGAATTGTAGATCACCACGCTATGCTAGCAATTATGCATGTCTGTATGAAGATGAGAGTTTCGTGCTGTTCGTTAATCTACAGAAAATCCCTTAGATTAAGCAGAACCTCTTTGGCTCAAACAACAGTCGGTCAGGTTATAAACTTACTATCTACCGATGTGAGCAAGTTCGATCAGACATTCGTCTTGTATCATTACGCTTTCTTAGGGCCTTTGGAAACCATGATTGGCACGTACCTACTTTACCGAACTTTAGGTGTAGCCGCATTCGCTGGGATAGCGTTCTTGTTGTTGTTTATACCATTACAACGTAAGTGCAGGTACCTATTTATACATACAGTATAATTGCTCATATTTCTTGATTTGCAGTTTATTTGTGCAAAAAAATTGCGGTGCTAAGATTGCGGACTGCTTTCCGTACAGATGAAAGAGTACGACTTATGAACGAAATTTTGAACGGAATTCAAGTAATTAAAATGTATACCTGGGAGAAACCGTTTGCTAAGTTGATCGATTTGGCTCGACGGTAAGTGTGATGATGGTTTCGACGGAAGCACTTTCCCATTCTTCCTTGTAGGCACGAGATTGCGTCCATTCGATCACACTTCTTCCTAGAGTCTATCATGTTTTCACTAGAAATGTTTATCACAAGAACGTGCCTGTTTATTAGTCTGGTAGTATTTATTGCATTGGGTGCAACCATGACGGCTGATATAGCGTACGCTGCTACCTCGATATACTCTCTTCTGCGACCGGTTATGACAATGCTATTCTCAATCAGCATAGCATCGTATGCCGAAGTTCACATATCCATAAAACGAGTACACTCATTTTTATCCTATGAGGAACAACCTGTGGATAGCCCTGAAAGTACATCACCGCTAATCCGATTAATCCCAAACATTTGTATTAAAGATGTTTGTGCGAAGTGGATTAACACTTCATCTGATAATATCTTAACAAACATCAATCTCGATCTGCACGGAAACAATTTAACTGCGATAATTGGATCAGTCGGAAGTGGAAAAAGCACCCTACTGCATCTCCTCTTGGGCGAACTTTACACGGCGAGTGGCGATGTGCGAATACGAGGAACTGTTTCGTACGCCCCCCAAGAAGCTTGGCTATTTTCAGCTAGTGTTAAACAAAATATACTGTTTTGTCACGATTACAATGAAGAAAGATACAAAAAGGTGCTTAAAGTGTGCGCGCTAGAAAGAGATTTGGCACTGTTTCCGTTCGGCGACCGTACAATTATTGGAGAAAAAGGAAAGAGCCTTAGCGGTGGGCAAAAGGCACGAATCAATTTGGCACGCTGTATTTACAAAGATGCAGACATTTACCTTTTGGACGATCCCCTGTCGGCGGTCGATTCAAAAGTTGGCAAGCATATCTTCGAAAATTGTATTAAAGATTTTCTTAAAGATAAAATGCGCATATTAGTTACTCATCAGCTTCAGTTTCTGAATTGGGTCGATAATATAGTCGTATTAGAGGACGGAAAGATAGTTGCGGAAGCGACATTTGAGGAGCTCCAAACGAGCGGTTTAAATTTTGCAAAAATTTTGGATCAACAGGACATTGGCGAAGATCCAGTGCAAGGGGAAAAAAAGCAAAGGTCTCGTCAAAATTCGGAATCCTCTCAAAACTATGAGCAATTTAAGGACGATGACGAAGATACACTTGACCAAGAGGAGCATTTGACGACCGGTCATATTAAATCTGAGGTATATGCGAGTTATTTCAAAGCGGGTGGTAATTATCTTGTCATAATTTTTGTCGCCTTCACCTTTATTGCTAACCAAGTGGTTACCAATGGTGGCGATTACTTCGTTTCGTACTGGTAAGTATCATACAAACTTCATTTGTAAGCTTACCATGACTTTTAGGGTCAACCTAGAGCAAAAGGCGTTAGAAACGAACGGCACAGTAGATAAGGACGACATCATATACATCTATAGTGGATTAACAGGGGGAACAATGATACTCGCTATCGGCCACAATTTGCTATTTTTCGTGTACGCCATGCGTGCTTCCATATTTATACATAACGAAATCTTTCAGAAGGTCTCGCATGCTTCTATGAGTTTTTATAATTCCAATCCCGTTGGAAGAATTTTAAACAGATTTTCAAAAGATATTGGTATAATTGACGACTACATACCATTTATTTTGAATGATATGACCGAGGTAAGTTACAATTTTTTTTATATTTATATAAAGAGAGAATTTATTTATTTAATAATTAGTCAACGAGTAACAAAATAATTCAGAAAAGTCAATTTACGAGAAAGTTCAAAAATTCCAAACGTAAACGTAACTTGAAAAGATTCAAAATGCAAAAAGATCTTACGTTTCGGTTAAAACACCAAAGGCAAAAGCAGTCCCTCTAAATAACAGTTTCTTTCATAAAATTCGATGGACGTCTTAAAAATCTGTAATTGGCCTTAACCTCAGAGTAAGAAGTAAAGATAGAGATGCCTTGATGCCTTGATGCTTATCTATGCGTGCCATCATCTCGTTTGTTTACTAACATTGCAGGAGGCTAAGTTGTCACATTTCACGAGATAGTTTTTAAGGGAATATTAATAATATGCATCTCGAGTAATCTAAATGGATTTTTAGATGCTTATAAGAGTTCAGTAACCCAAACAATTTTAACTTACAATTAAACGGCGTAACAAGAAAAGTTATGGTGATTAGTGCACCACATCGGCAACGCTGTAACTTTGTTTTCCGTTGAGAGGTATTTTGTTTATTTCGTTAAAACGTGATTCCTTAATTTTTAGGCGTTTTTATAGTGGACGACTTATTCGATTGTGGTGTATTAATTTATGGGAGCCCTTTGAAATGGGGAAAAGCTGTATTATTTGTGGAATTATTGAATTACCTAACATAACCTTTCATCCGTATGTGTTTTGAAGTCATAGACGTGCATACGGGAATTTTCGCATTTTAATGTGTTTAGATTTCCTTCTAAGTTTCCACTTTGAAGTATCACCATACCTTATCATAGATCAATAGGGACCTTTCAAACACATACAGCTTTTGGTCATAATTATTTAGTGATACGTTATTACGTTTGCACATGTAAACAAAACATAAACTTTGTTGCCCATAAAAATAAATAAACCTTACGCCACTGACTAATGTTTACTTTCTACCTCCAAGGGTCAAATTGACTGAGATGTTGGTTCAAAACAAACGTTCACGTTGTTATAGCGTACGCGTACTCTATCTTTATTTCTTACTTCTTGAGGCCTTAACATTTTAAATTAATTAGAGAGGCTTTAGTGACACCCTCACGGGACTTAATCGGGTGACTGTTTACTGCATACATTTAATCGGCTAATGTACACTTACTTAATTTGGGATAATTATTGTCTAAATTTTCATTATTCTAATTAACACCTGTTGTCTCTTGGAATTTCTCAGGTCGGTAAAAGTCTCCTATTCAAACTGATACCGGCGTAACCTGCCATGGCATAATTGAAATATCTTGACGGGAACGGTTGCAAACGGCGAAGTGATTCCAACTTTTGTTTACCGTAAAGGGGCCGAAACACAACTCTAAAAATTGCCTTTGTCTTCAACTCCTACAACCAACACAAATACTTATGGCACGATACTTTTGGTAACGAAGCGCCCCCATATACCGGGTGGTCATGAAAGTATGTACAGTTCAAGGCGGAAAATAGGTGCTTCGTTACAACGCCTTTAAAACTCCACACTACCTTTTTACATCCTTTTTTTGGCAAATGTTTACAAGCAGCTAGAACACATATACTCTCCAGATGTGCCTGTGCAATGCGTCAAACTAATGTGAATAAAGGAGTATATTACAGGGTGATACAAAAAGAATACCACAATTTAGAAAATCGATAGCTGTGCAATGGAAAAAAAACCAGAACTAATCTTCCATCCATGGCCTAAACTTGTTCTGGTATATCTTCCGACTTAATCGAATTTTTCTGGTATTCTTTACCGCACGATAATAACTGTTCAATTGCGCATCTTTACCCTAGTTTGACCATCATCGTGTGGTTTCCGAGATCCCCAAGAGGCATGTTTTTAACTAAGTTACGTTTTGAAATTTCTCGTCTGCAGAGTTACGGATGGCATCCGCCGCATGCGCATCACATTTCTACACGTGTTGGCAAGTGACACCCACTTTGGGACACAAACCATTTCCACCAATAAAACTACTTTTACACAATAAATCAAATTCATTGCTACTACTAATTGACTCAACGTGAATTTCCTGATGAGTTTGCAAATCTCACGCATCCAACGAAAAAAAATCTTCCTGTAATCCAAATCGACCACGTATTATCCACGACTCACTGTCGCCACAAGCTTTCAAACGCATTTACAAAGTCAGGACGGTATTTAAGGGCCACTCGTCTATGTAACACACCCAAAAAGAACTCTTTATATCTTGCATGATTCAATTTTAAAAACTGTTCAACCCTACAACATTTAACTCCAGACCCTAAACTGGAAGAAACCCCTGCTTGACCAAACTTCAACTATCATATACTGTTGTGTGAACTACGCCATGGGGACGTTTTCTTTGGTATCAGCATCTACAGTGTTGGGTCACCCTGTATTTGTTTAATTTCATTTATTTTTGAAGTTAAATATTGATCGCTAATTTAGAATGAACACAATATCGATCATATCATTTGAGTTTGAAGTCATTGTTGATTGTATTTATTGAACGATGTGTAATTTTGTTTAAATAATCGCCTTTTAATTTGTTCATTTTATTGTTCAGATAGAATTGCGTGACATGTTTTGTTAAAGTTTATCTCATGTTATCTCCGGCCGTTGCGATAAGTGTTATCTATCACTGCGTTAACTAATTAAATTTCAAAATAAGTACGTGTTATCACGGAAGTTTTAACAGATATTTAATTTACTCAAAGACGCCCAGAAAATTAATAGAAAATGGAAAGGGAAGAATGTTTTAAGTAAGCGAACCGGACGTTGATCATGGTTTGTTTGGTGGTGGACGTAAATCGTTGCTTATTGTTGGCGATTTGCAGTTTTGCCGTATTTAAATGTAATATTACAAGACAGTCCGTCTTGCCAGTTGTACAGTTTTGTAAAAGAAAGCTAGTGAGTTCATTGGAAAATTTGTATGACGAGCGATGAGAAGCTAAACGAAGATGCATGCGTCCGGCTTCTACGAAGAAGGAATCCGAAAGCTCTACACGAGATGTTGGGAAACTATGTTGAGCAATATTTTAAGATTGTATCTTAAATATGGTATAGATAGAGTAAAAATTTTTCCGTTCGGTATTTTTCCTTTTGCGCTGTTTGTTATACCATTTTGAACGACCCTCGTATGTTGGAGAAATATATTGTGTGCAATTAATTCATAATTTCATTTTTCAGATCCTGCTAATGTTACTTGGTGCTGTGGTACTTTCGGCTACTGTAAATCCGTGGTTCCTACTGCCTTCATTTGGATTAGTTCTATTATTCTATTTTCTTAGAATTGTATTCTTGGCAACTAGCCGAAGTGTAAAGCGACTCGAAGGGATAAGTACGTACTGCTACCAAGTGTAACTGAAACTGAATAATAATTTTTTTTAAAGATCGAAGTCCAATTCTCACTCATTTAACTGCGACAATTTACGGACTGTCCACAATTAGAGCTTTTTCGGCGCAGAAATTATTAATTCAGGAGTATGACACGCTACAAGATAAACATAGTTCTTCATGGTACTTATTTATATCAGCCAGTAGAGCTTTTGGATTTTGGCTTGAGATGATCTGCAATATTTTCGTATCTGGAATAATTATCAGTTTAATACTCATTCCAAAGGGTAAGGAGGCACGTGTAATTATAAAAATTGCTTATTTATCTTTCAGGGTATTATGGCGGAGATATTGGTCTGGTACTGACGCAGTACTTGGGACTAATGGGCGCTTTGCAATATGGCATGCGACAGTGGAGTGAATTGGAAAATAATATGACGTCGGTGGAACGAATTTTGGAATTTAGGGGTGCACAATTAGAGCCGATCCGCGATTCGAAAGCTGTACCGAAGCTGTGGCCAGAATTTGGTAAAATAGTATTTGAACATGTTTCCATGAGTTATGCACCAGATTTACCTATACTGAGCAATCTAAATTTTACTATCCAACCTGGAGAAAAGGTTGGAATAGTTGGTAGAACCGGGGCGGGAAAGACGTCAACTGTTGCCGCTTTATTTCAGCTCTATAATACAGAAGGATCGATTATAATTGATGAAGTAGACATCACTAGAATAAACTTAGAACTTTTGCGATCAAAGATCTCAATTATTCCTCAAGACCCAGTTTTGTTTAAAGGTACAATGAGGAAAAACTTAGATCCATTCGAAGAGTATAGTGATGACGTCATCTGGAATGCATTAGAGCAAGTGGAATTAAAATCTACAGTCGACGATGCCACAGCTGGTTTAAATATGAGCGTGTGGGAGAATGGCTCCAATTTCAGCATTGGACAAAGACAGCTGATCTGTTTGGCGCGAGCAATAATTCGTAATAATAAAATTCTCGTCATGGATGAAGCAACCGCCAATGTTGATCCATATACTGACGGCTTAATTCAGAAAACTATCAGGGATAACTTCGCTCATTGCACTGTTATCACAATTGCACATCGTCTGCATACCATTATGGATTCTGATAGAGTCCTAGTAATGGATGCGGGCTGTGTGATTGAGTTTGACCACCCTTATAACTTATTACATCATAAAAACAGTATTTTTGCTTCGATGGTAGAAACGACAGGGAAAAACATCTCTGGAAAACTTCATTGTATTGCAGAAGAGGTAAGCGTTAGACAATTGTTATAAATTGGTAGTATTGATGAAATACCTTTTAGAGCTTTCTGAAGCTTAAAAATGCTTGATCTGTGTGATATTCTCAAACTGGATCAGAGAAGTGTTCCCTCTTTCGGAAGTATATGACCTCGTTATTACAAGAAAAGAAAAGCTGCAAGTGCTCATTGATTATGGCCTCATTGTATGATTTTTTATATTCTGCAGTATTTTTTTAAAATAAACGTTTCACAATTGTTTTGTTTAATTACACTGAAGTTGTTCAGAATTAAATGTTTGGTGCGTTTTTTTAAAAGCCCATATTTTGCATACATTTAAGAAAATTCCCTGTAACTACACGAACAATGCTCCATCCCTGAGTTTAAATTCTAATCACCGAAGTGATGAGTTCTCTTGTAACTGGGCTATTAATTGTAATTTGCTGAAATAGACTCGCATAATCGAATATGGTGTACGTATGTTCACTGATAACAACAGCCGACCAACCGATATCATTGATTGATTCGGATTCCTGGTGCTCTTAAACATGTATTTCCGTCAAAAAAGTAAGGGGGTCATAGTTACTTTTTCCACAGGAGACGCAGATTATCATCGAAATCAAATTCGTGTAGAGTTGGTTGCCTATAACAAAAATTGGGTCCCAGAGGTGATCAAAACGAGCACTTTTTCCAAATAAACCGAGGGTCCAACGTGTTTCGTTTGGGAGCCATCCTCATAAGAGTTCCAAAGACTCATGGCTGTTGAAACTATTAGAGCAATAAACTGAAAACATGTATATTGTATAATTATGACAGATGAACTAACTATTTATCGTATCATAGTTACAATAAATTAAATAGGTAACTATATTTATTTCAACATTCCCTCCTAAATTGTTAGTTTATATTATATCAATGGTTTACACATTTGTAGTAAGCCCTAGCAAACTTCTCATCCTTTCAAAACGTTTTGTTGGAAGTGGTTTCGTTAAAATGTCACCTAATTGATCCTCACTAGTAATGTGTTCCACTGATAAGACTTTCTCTTCAACTTTCTCTCTAATAAAATGGTATCTAACATCTATGTGTTTAGACCTCTGATGCATAATCGGATTCTTTGTAAATTTTACTGCACTCATGTTATCAATTATAAATAATGTCGGTATCTTTGTTAGAGTTAGGGGTGAAATTTCCTTAAAAATTCGGTACAGCCATATACCGTCCTTGGCGGCTTCACTAGCTGCGATGTATTCGGCTTCCATAGTAGATAAGGATACGCATCTCTGTTTCTTGCTTGACCAAGTGATTACTCCGCTACTAAATTGTGAACATACTCCGCTTACTGATTTTCTCGACACATCATTAGCGTAATCTGCATCGCTGTAAATTTTTAATTCTTTGCATTCCGTAGCTGTGTATTTAATGCCCATATTTAGAGTACCTTTGATCATTGAATAAAAACACTATAAGAAGCCTAACGCTTATGGAAGAAAGCGCGACAAATCTCACAAATCCCCTTGCACCCGCATTGGTTGTGACCACCGAACTCTCATTGCGGTAATTATAGGAGGAAAGCAAATTCTCATTCTTCTCAGTTCAAGAATCGACTCTATTGACAGTGTTCCCATTATATTCTCAGTTCAAACTCTGTCGCGCTTTATTTCCACGGGGTTAGGCTTCTTATAGTGTTTTTATTCAATGCTTTGATATATTTAAAAATTCTCTTCACAATTTCCCAATGTCGTCTATTAGGTTGTTCAACAAATTGTGAAATATAATTGACAGCAAAGGTTATGTCAGCTCTTGACACAACTGAAGGGTACATTAAGCAACCTACTGCTTCTCTAAATGGAGCATCCGTAGGTTTAAACTTTGGTATTTCTTTGAAAGCTTCTTCCATCTGACATCTTTCTAAAGGAGTCTTGACCGGTTTTGCCTCTTCTATGTTAAAACGCTGTAAAAGACGTTCTGCGTATGATCTTTGATTCAAGAAAATTGAACCATCTATATTTCTGCAGATCAAAACGTTCAAAAAACTTTCAACATTTTTACAAACAGTAATTTGAAATTCTGCTTGCAGTTTTGTCAAGAGTTGCTGTATTGTCTGCTTTTTGGTAGCTAATATAAGTCCATCATCCACGTATAGTACCACTAGCAGCTTGTCATTCTCAATATTACTGTAATACAAGCATGGATCAGCAGTGCTTTCGGTAAGATGAAATTTCTTAAGCAATCCTTTAAATCTCTGATTCCAGCAACGTGGGCTTTGTTTGCAACCATATAAACTTTTCAAAAGTTTACAAACATGACTTGTGCTGTCTTCAAATCCTTGCGGTTGGTACATGTAAATATCACGATCGATGAATCCATTTAAGAAGGCTGTCTTAACATCAAATTGAGCCATTTCCAAACTCTCCTGTGCTGCAATGCTCAGAACCGTTCTAATGGTGTCAAATCGGGCTACGGGACTAAATGTATCATCGTAATCTATTCCTTCTTTCTGACTAAACCCTCTCACTACCAATCTGGCCTTATATCGATCAATACTTCCATCTACTTTCCTTTTGTACTTAAATGTCCATCGGTTTGTGATGGCTTTTCGATTTTCTGGTAAATCTACCAAAATCCAGGTGTGATTTTGTATCAATGATTGCATCTCTTCCTCCATTGCTTGTTTCCAATGTCTACTTTCTGGTGATTCAACTGCCTCTTGATAGGACTTTGGTTCATCTACTTCAGCAATCATTGTTTCAATTAATCGTTTTGTATGACCAAGATTTCTTCGATTTCTAAAATTATATCTTGGTTGATCCTGTCCATCTTCTTCTTCCGATTCTCGCAATTCATTGTCATCAACATCAATATTTTCATGATGCTGTCCATTTTCTTCTGATTCTTGCAATTCATTCTCAACATCAATATTTTCATTTCCTACCTGCTCTATTTCTTTTTCCCGAACAAATCTGTTCTCTCCTGGATATTCTGCTACGTAATTTGGCTTCTCGTCAAGGTTAATGTCAAAGGTGATCATTTTTGATATACTCTTCTCTTCATTAGAATGGTCCGTACAATTTACTGGTTCAAATACAACATCTCTACTACGAAGTATTTTCCTGGTAGAACTCAACCAAACACGAAAACCATCCATCTCATCAGAATAGCCAACAAAAATACCTTTTTGACATTTCTGGTCCCACTTCTTTCGTACTTGCTTTGGCTTATGTACAAAACATGTAGTACCAAAAACGTGCAGTTTGTTTAAATGTGTAGACTTGCCCGTGAATATTTCAAGAGGTGATTTACCATTTTCATTACTAGGCCCCGTTCTGTTCAGCAGATAAACAGCAGTGTTGACTGCTTCGGCCCACAATCCTTTAGGTAAATCTTTCGCCGCTAACATTGTTCTTGCAAGTTCGACTACAGTGCGATTAGAGCGTTCTGCACATCCATTCTGCTCGCTGGTATATGGATTTGATACACTGAGGATTACTCCTTCAGATTTTAACAACGTTGTCACATCTTTGTTGTTAAATTCTCCTCCACCGTCGCAACGCAACATTTTTAGTGGTCTTCCGCACTGATTTTTCACAAAATTCAAGACTTCAGCAATTCCTTTTGTAGTTTCTGATTTTTCCTTAAGAAATTTGATCAATCGGAATTTTGAGTAATCACATGTAAAGCAGATAAAATATCTCGATCCTCCATACGAAGTGATTTCCATAGGACCACATAAATCAACATTCATGACTTCACCTTCGCTCGTTGAGCACGTTGTTGTCGTAGTTGAAAAACCTTGCGATGCTGCTTACCTTTTACACATGCTTCACAAAAAAAATCTTGTTTGGTGTACTCGATTCCGTTACGGTTTAACACTTTTTCGACTTGTACTCTGTTTTGATGTCCGAGCATTTCATGCCACTCTTGAATTGATTTCAATTTCGAAGTCACGTTTGTTTCTTTCGTATTACTTAATTGTAATAAATTATTCTCTGGTACTTTCACCTTCATTATCATTGTGAATAACTGGCCAACTCGTCTACCCTTAGCTTTTGTTTTTCCATCACTGACGAAAAAGCACTCCTTTTGATTTGATTTGAACTCGTATCCTTTGTCTAAAGCTGCTGTCATCGAGCATAGATTTCTACGAGCAGCTGGAACAAAGAGAACATTTAACATTCGAAAATCAAAAATTTTACCATCAACAAAAGTTTTAACTTCTACGACGCCTTTTCCCAACGCATCCATCGATGTCTTGTTTCCAATGTGGACCTTGACTGGTGTCTTAAATTGTTCAAAAGATGAGAACCACTCGCCATGATATGTTAGATGATCAGTGGCCCCCGAATCAACAATCCAAAAATCTTCGTCATTTTCCGCATTCAAGACTTCCGTAATGAAAGCGTTTTCTCCAGATTCCTCGTTATAAAACTTCTGTTTACGATTGGGACAATTTCGTTTTATGTGATTCTTGCCTCCGCAACCATAACAAGTAAACGTTTTCTTTGTAGTTGCACCTTTTGTAGTATTCTTTTTATGTGAAATCTGTGATTTGCTCCTATATCGACCAGCTAGTAGTGCTCCTGTACTTTCTTCTGATGCCTCGCTTTGTAGATGTCTTTGTTTTCTTCGCGATTCTTCGGATGTTAGTACATTCACCAGGTTATTAAACGTTTGTTGTTCGTCTGGTCTGGCCCACCATGCCTGCTGTAAGTTATCATAATTATCTGGTAGCGTATCCAGAAGTTTTACTACTAAAGACATGTCATCTTGTTTCACATTCAGTGCATTCAGTTTCAAGATAAGAGTTTCGAACTTTGAAATATGAGTTACCATATCATCTTTCTCATTCATTGTAAAACTAAAGAACTCC